GGGCGCCTGGGTGGCTCAGTCGTTGGGCGTCTGCCTTCGGCTCAGGTCGTGATCCCAGGGTCCTAGGATCGAGCCCCGCATCGGGCTCCCTGCTCAGCGGGAAGCCTGCTTCTCCCTCTCCCACTCCCCCTGCTTGTGTTCCTCTCTCGCTATGTCTCTGTCAAATAAATAAAATCTTTAAAAATAAATAAATAAATAAATAGGCCCCTCTGGGGTCCCAGGTTGCACATAGGCCCCTGGGTGGGTCCCACCACCACAGATCTACTTCCCCACTCTGAGCTTTGCTCCCTCCCCCACCCAAAAATAACTCCAGAAGAGACAAGAAACAGTGCTCCCACCTCTTCGTGGTGAGAAGTTAGTTTCGCAGACATGTGAAGAAGGGCCATGGTGGGTGACTCCTCTTGTCTCAGGGAGATTACCTAAGGTGCACCCACAATGGCTGCCACCCAAAAGGATCGAGATTTCTCTCCTCTGGTAGTTCCCTTGCCCTCTCTCTGCCTTAATCTCAAGCTCAGGTAGCAACCTGCTTCCTCCCCGCCACCCCCGCTTCTCCCAGGCCCAGCTCTCACCCTTCTTCTTTTCTCAGCTCCACCCTCATCAGGGGTTCCTGGAAACCATGAACACCAGTCACAAAAGTCAGCCACCATGTTCCTCTCATGCCGGCCCAAGCCACACCCTGTGATGCCCCCCATGCTCCCTTGGGCCTTTGGCCATCTCCACAGGGGCAAGGCCTGAGGCTCGAAGGCAGGGCTGCTCAGAAGACCCCCTCTCCCCAGAGCCTGGCCCAAAGACTGCAGCTCCTACCAAAGCAGGCCAGTCCTGCAAGGCCTAGGGCCCAGCCCGACCCATGCCTCTGGCATTCTTCCTCTGGGTGATCAAGTACCTGGGACGTAGGGAAGACAAGCCTCACCACTTGGCCAGAGGGCAAGGCCCTTAGGGGCACCTTCAGTTGCTCTTGAGGGGCATCCTGCAGGGAGGATGAAAGAAGACCTCAGAAGACCCTTCCGCAAGGACCTCGCCCATTGCCCCGGGGAGTGACAAAGCGGCAGGAAGAGGGCTAGGAGGCCAACGTCGACCCCATCCTCTTCCCAGGATGCCTGATTCTGCCAGAGTGATGGGGCGAGGGGCTCAGCATGAGCAGAGGGACCAGCTAGGAGGAAGTGGGGAGGGAAGGAGGGAGAAAGACCCTGCAGGGCCCGCCTCGTATGACGGAGCAGCACACTACCTGCAGAAGAATACCCAGTTCCTGCTCCCAGCAGGCCGGGCAATGAAAGCAGAAGGGGTCAGCACCCACGGAGGCCTCATGTTGACCCTCACAGGACCCAGGAACCACAAGCTGAACTCTGCCCTCTGACTCTGGAAACACGAACCAGAGCAGAGTGGCTGCGAATAAGGTCTTGGCCCACAGAGGCCCAAGGCGGTCTCGCATAAGGGGCCTGAGGGGCACTTCCTTCCCACCGCGAGGGAAGACTGGCAAAGGCCCAGGCTGGGAGATGGAGCCCCGACCACAGCCACTCTGAGGACTAAGGGGACACGCTCAAGTCCTGGGGAGCCCCAGCATGGATTTGCCCCTAACCTCGACTGCTGCCTAGGAGAGCTGAGGGCAGCTAATAGAAGGTCCCATCCAGGGTCCCCATAGAAATACGACCAGGGCGGAGGGCTAGGGGCTATCCCAGTAGGTTGGGGACTTACGCTTCTGGTCCCCTGCCTCCTCCAGTCGAACATGCAAGCAGGAGAGCTCCCGGGCCTGAGTCATTAAGAAAGCCCCTCAGACTCACACCCCTCCCCTGTTAGAGGCCCCCACCCTCCCAGTACCCTGGTTTTGGTCCTCAGCACTTTATTACATTGGCCCTGAGTCACCAAACATTTGCTTGAGGTTGTATCCTCTTGAAGAACTGAAATCCCAGGGCCCCCCAACTCAATTCTACCCCTGAATCCCCAACAGGGGCCCACGCTTCAGGCCCAGGAAAGAGGGCATGAGGGAGGGGTTCTGGACTCACCACCAGGATGCCATTGCTGACAAGCTGCTCAGCACAGTCTGTCCTGAAAAAGCCACCAGTGACCCTCATCGCAAGTCCAGCTTTCCAGGCTCTCACCCCTCAAGGAGGGAAGGCCACCCCCCAATCACTGGGTGTCTCCCAGGGGAGGCTGTCAGCTCTGGGTGTGCTGGGCTCTGTCCTTCCCCGAGAAACACTCCCACCCAGGAATCACCCCATCACCCCTGACTCACAATCTCTGCAGCCGAAATTCAACTTCTAGCCGCTCCTCACCCTGGAGAAATAAAGCAGCAAGTTAGAACAGGTGAGGAGTGGGTGTGTAGATTTCAACGCAGACGCCAGCAGGGGCTCCTAGGGCCCCAAAGGCGGGGAGAGCCAATGTCCATCTCCAGGTTTCTCTGTCCACCTTCTCTGGGTGGCTCCTAGAAAGCTGTTCTTGGCTTAAGGGCCAAGAAAGAGGGTTGGGGATGGGACTGTTCCTCAGTGACAGCAGCTCCTGGCTGCCCGTAGCCTCTGCAATGCTGGGGAAGCCTGGACCAGCCACTAGAGAAGAGGGCCATGTGCCCAGCTCCCCTCCAAAGCACCTCCCCTCCCGGAGCTAAGGCCCACCGCTACCCTGGGCACAGCCTTGCCTGAGGGTTCAGTGAGAAGCTCTCTCGGCGGAAGTCCCCAGCCTGCAAAGTCCCCAAGTCAAATAGCACTGACAACATGGCGTCATCGCTGGTCAGAAGATCCTGGTCAAAGACTTGCAGCTGCAAGACATTCTGGAACAGAAGAGAGTGAGGAGTTGCAGGAAGGAGGAGTGGAGTAGGAAGGTGAGTGGGGCCAGGGCACGGAACAAGGGCTGGCAGGGACGGTGGGCAGGGCAGCGACTAACACCTGGCCCACCTTGAGCTGGCTGTGGATTCGGAAGCGAAAGCTCTGATTCCAGACGGGGTTTCTGCTGTTCTTGACCGTGCGTGTCTGGAGCCTGTGGCTAGAGGCTGTGGGCAGCCACAGCCTCACATAGCAGTCAGAAGGGGTCACTGCGGGAAGGAGGAACCAGTGCCTGCTGATGGCCAACAGCCCGACCCAGCCCAGCTGCCCAGAGTCCATGACCTTCCATCCCAGGCAGCCCTGGGAGGCCTAGAGACCCATGGAATGGGGCTAGGTCGGGAGGCAGGAGGAGAGGCTGGGGCGCTACCCGACATTCCCCCCAGCACCTCCTCTTGGCACCCTCTCTAGGACCCCCTGCACGCCCAGCCCTAGAGTCTCTTCCCACTGGCCCTGTCCCACTCTGAGCCCAGCTACAATGCCACTGTCCTCCCTGGGCCCAGCACTCACCTAGGTCCTTCGAGGGCAGGCCATGGGCCTGCAGGACACGAATGGTGAGCAGGCAGGTCCCAGGAACCTTTGCCTGCAGAGGACGGAGAGGACAGGCTTGCTGCAGGCTGCTGAGCCCAAAGGAGACAAGGCAAGCCCAAAGAGGCCAGGGTGACCCATCCAGGACTAATCCTGAACCAAAGGGACCGGCCCTGCCCTGCACCCCATCAGAGTCCTGAATGGGAAGGCGGCTACGGGAGCTCCCGACGATGCCTGCCAACACTTACCCAGCACTCCAGGCTGGCGTTGGTCCAAGGGCTTTATATGTATGTTAATTTCTTTAATCACACAACCACCCTATGTGTAGGGACTACTTATTATAACCCATCCCACAAGGAAACAGAAGCAGAGAAAGGCTAGTCACTTGCCGGAGGTCCAGAGCCAGGACTGGACCAGGCTGGCTCTCAATCCCACGCTTATCTGCTTCCAGTTCCTACTAGAGTGTCTTTCAGTCTTTCCACCCCACATCCCCAGCTAACCCTTGCTAAGCAGCCTGGAGGCTGGCCTTGGGTGGCAGGAGGCCTGGGGGCATATACGGCTACAGAGAGAGGGGAAGAAGCACGGTAAGGGGTAAGGTAAGGGGTAAAAGCACGGTAAGACCCAGCCTGGCCTTGGGCCCCTTGGTGGGGCTGCTCCCCTGGTTAAGCAGCTTAAATGGAGGCCTGATCCAGTTAAGCAAACCCTCTATTTGGAGAAGCAGGAGTGGAGAGCACAGACTTCGTTTTCAGACAGCCTCCCCACCCCTGGCCGGGAATCATTTCTGGAAATGGGCCCTCTGCCTGAGTAGGAACAGCAGTTAGCAGCTCACACCACCCACAGGTTTTCAAGTCCTCCAGATGCTACAAGGTCGGGCTAAAGAGGGTCCCCAGGCGGGTCCATCCAAACCCACGAACATGGATCTGGGGATATAAACCATGACAAATGTGCCAGAGAAACCTGTACCAACTATTCCTTTTGGCCTTCAGCCCTGCCTCAGAAGGGTCCTGATGGCTGGAGTCCAGGGGCAGGGCTGGGGAAATTCATCTGGCAGTGTCCGCCCTGGGGCCCCCGCACTCCAAGCAACTGAGTCGGGACCACTGGAGCAGCTACTTCCCGGGAGCCTGAGTTCTCAAGGCCCGATCCATGGGGCCAGGAACTCTGCCTGGAGCCCATCTCTAGGGCAGGATGCCCTGGTCCGATGCGGGCAAACTCCCCTCTACACCTGGAGACACCCACAGCTCCCCTTAAGAAACAGCAATAACTGGGGGGGGGGGGGCACCTGGGTGACTCAGTTGGTTAAGCATCCAACTCTTGATTTCGGCTCAGGTGAGATCCAGCCGTGGAGCCCCACGTGTCAGGCTCCGTGCTCAGTGGGGAGTCGGCTTGAGATTCTCTCCTTCTGTTGCCCCTACCCCCGCCCCACAAGCGTACTCTCTCTCAAAGCAACAAGTCTTTATAAAATAAAAACAGAAATAGCATTAACCAGGCCCCAGGAGGACCAAGTGTCAGAGTGGGGGCCCAGCTCCCTAGCAGGTCTTACCAGGGCCATGAGGCTGTCCGTCCTCAGGAGCCACAGATGGCAGGCAGTGGATGCAGGACCGAGGACTGTTGGCTACTTAACCCAGAGCCAGTGATGCACCACCAGCTGGCCGCAAGCTCCTCCTTGGTCCCTCCCAACGGCCTCCACTCCACCCAAGCCTCACACCCACTCCAGGACAAGCTACCTGCTGAGGAAACGAGGAACCTTAAACCTATATGGAGACTCAGACACCCCTGGGACGGGGGCTTACCACCCACGAAGACCCATTCCCTCCAGCCGCCACCATCAGCACCTACCCCACCCAGCCCTGCTCTCATGCCTGGACCTAGAAGGGCCACTGACATCTAGAAAGCAGGGAGTGGGCCCAGGGCAGCAGCAAGTGGAAGAGCCTCGTCCCGTCACAGGGTCTTTCACAACCTCTGGTGCCAGTAGGACAGGAATGCCCAGTCCTGACTGAAGCGCTTGGCCAATCTGAGAGGAGTGCCCCAGGCCCGTCACAACCTGGCAGGGGTGTGTGGTTCGTTCCACGAAACAGCCCTCCCAAGCGGTGTGCGCGGCTGCCTCCACCCTCGGAGCCGGGTGGCCGGGATGAGGAGGCCTCGGGGTGGCATTCGGGGAAGGGGGCTCTTCCAGCTCTGGGTGGGTGCAGGGAGGGAGGGAGTCTGCGTGCAGAGACCCCTGCCGTGGAGGTGGGCGGCAGGGTTTTCTGTCCCCTCCTACCTGTCCTTGCTGCGGGAGAAGCAGGGGTGACCCTGGGGGCCCCAGACCCCACCAGCTGCCCGGGAGCTGGAGGACAGGCCACAAGGCCAGAGCAAAGCTCACCACAGCTTTACAGGCCGAGTCGGTGCGGTCGGCTTGCCCTGAGAGGGGCTGCAATGGCTGTCACAGATAGAGGGGTCTTGGCAGCAAAGAGCTCCTCGGGCTCAGGTCTGGACCCAGCCCTCAGCCACAATCAGAGTAACCCTGAAATGTTTACCTGAACCTTCCAGCCCTCACCAGACCACAGAAGGCAACTTCGAGAGGGAGTCTCAGCACCCATGAATCACGGTCATTTTTATTGCGCATTTCCCTCCGTGCCAGCCCTTCTGGTCCTTAAGGCTCTCTGTCCGGGGCTAACAACACGCCGTGGGGTAGGAAACACCAGCTTCTCTGGTTTCCAGGCAGGACACCAGCGCTCCAAGGTGCTAAGCTGCCCAAGGCCACGGTGGCAGTGAGAGGCGGCGCCGCACCCGAAGCCCCACGCCTCCTCCGGACAGGCTGCTGCCTCGCCTGTGTGGAAACTTCCTGGGAGCCCACACCCAGACCTGTCTGGCACCTCCTGGGCCTCCAGATCACCTCCCCAAATTCTCCAACGCTGATCCCAAGCCGAGCTGGGCCGGCAGCCAGCACACTCTGGAAGTGACCTGGCCGGGGAGGGCACGACCTTTCCCACCAGGTGTCGTGGCAATGTTCACCAGGGCTCCATCAGTCGAGGCCCGAGGCCTTAGTAAGGGAATCAAGCAGCTGGAAGTAACTGTACTTAAGGTCATACTCCATGTCATACCAGTAGTTCACTGTGGGGAAAATGGAGACCTGAGCATGAAGGTTCCCCTCCTAACCTACTGCCTCCCCAACCCATCCCCCAGCTGCCCTGCGGGCAGCTCCTCACCAGCAATGCAGCCATGGGACTGCTGGACATGGTGGAACCACAGGGCTGGCAGGTAGAGCATCTCCCCGGCCTGCACAGTGCAGCAAAGGGCCCGGGCCTGACTGTAACTGGGGTACCGGGCCAGATCTGGAGCCAGTGGGTCCAGTGGGATCCAGGGTACCTGGGGACACAATGGATGCCAGGGAGCAGGCCCAAAGCCCCCAGGCCCTCCAGCTCTGTGCCTTCCAGAGGGAAACACCACAAGACCTGCCCTGTTCAGCACTGGGAGGATCCAGACTTAGGGATCTTTCAGAGCCAGGTGCCATCTCCCCAACTCTACCGTGCCTGCTCCTCAGAGACCAGGTTCTGACCCTTCCCTCTCCCCAGGGCCCAGAAACAAGGCAGACACCTTCTCCGTGGCCTCTTCATCCACCATCTCAAAGGAGCCCTCTTCAGTTAGCTGGTAGGTTGCTGGTGTGTACAGCTCTGAAACCAGAGAAAGGTGTGGGGACACTCAAATGGCCCACGGCTTCTCAGTTCCTCCCACTTGTTCCCTGAGTGCAATGGAAACACTGCGTCCACACCTCAGGCCTGGTGCACCAGGCCGCCCAGGGCCCTTGCTGCCCTCCCTCTACCTTGGGCCACCTGCTCTCCAGCCCCTGCAGGCTGAGTCCCATACCATAGGGGATGAAGGGCCGGTCGCTGGGTGGGTGCAGCAGGAAGCGTTTCTCCCCTGAGACCACACAGTAGAGGTTCTCATAGTGGTCCTTATGTACTGCCAATACAAAGAAGGCCCAGGGTTATGAGGGGCAGGGCACAGGAGGGGACAAATGATCACATTCAGGACCCTGCACCCAAGACCGATGTGACAGATGGCATAACAGAAGAGCACAAAGCAGGCCCAAGGGGATGCTGAGGAGCTGGGCAAGCATTCGGCATTTCAGATCTCTGCTCACCAGGGACTTGGTGCTCACCTGGGCTCATGTCTACCTAGAGGGGAATTCAAGCAAACAGTGTTCTCCTGAGTTCACCCCTGACCCAGCTGGCCTTTGGAGAGCTTTCTAGAGACCCAGAAGACACAGTGCCCTCCACCCCCAGTGCCATGGGACCTTCCCCAACCTGAGCTATCGGGAGGCCTCTGTCGTGTCCAAACCCCAGAATCCCAGAAGAAATCTTAGAGACTAGTCAGTCTAACTTGCATCCAGACCCAACCTTCCACTCTTGGCCTCCTCTTCCCTCCTCCCCCACCTCTGTATTCCTTTGACACCTACAAGATGTCACTGCAGACGCCTCCCCCAGCCAGAAGTTCACAGCATCAGGCATCTTTCCTGTAGGTCAGAGGTAAGAGAGCAAGTCGGCGGGGTGCCATCCTCAAATGCCAGGCTGGGAATAACCACCATAGAGTGATGCTGGACCAAAGCCTAGGGGGGACCAGAGGCTCACAGGGAGCAAACAGGGAGAAAGGGCAGAAGAGGGTGAGCTCCAGAAGGGGCCTCCTCCCCTGGGGGAGAAAGGAGGATAGCAATGTTCAGTAGTTCAATTCAAAGTCATGGCCTGGAGACTTGAAGGTTTAGTGCATAGCTCCTAACCCTGAGGGGCCAAGAGTATGGGCCAAGTCATCAACAAAGGGAGAAGCAGCAAGCAGAGCTGACTCCTTCCTTCCCTGCCCGGCCGATTACCTTCACTCACCCAGTGCCTCGGAGGCCCAGGGCACATGGGACTCTAGATCAGGCAGCAGCTGGGGCAGCTCGGTGGGCAGGTTGGAGCACTGCTTCTGCACATAGAGGACTCCTGGGTGCTGGGCCTGGCCCTCTAGCACATCCAGCACGAAGCTCAGGGGCAGGCGGCGCTCAGCAGGCATCACAAAGCGGTTCCCTCGTACAGCATCCGCATAACCATCTGGTGTCACAGCCACGCTCACCTCTGTGGAGCCCACTGTGGCTCTGGAGGAAAGGACTTTCAGCCCATACCCAGGTACCACAAAGTACCACCCAACACCCCCCAGGGGAGCCCCCACCTGAGATAGGGGAGGGACCACTTTCGCAGAGCTGGCCAGTGCTGCAGGGCGTTACGGATGATGCAGGGCCTATTGGGGCAGACCCAGTCTCGGTAGAAGTGGAGTGGAGTGGGGGGCTCGTCCAGGTAGGGCACAGCAAGAGGCACACAGAGCTCTGAGAGAAAGAGGGGGGTGGGGGGACTGAAGCCAACAGCACCCAGTTGTGCCCCAGTGCCTACAGAAGAGATGCCCTCCTTGGGCAGGACATACTGTTACCACTGGTAATGCCCACTGATGACCAAGGGACCCTGGACAACCAGGAATTGAAGAATGAGGGAAATTTAAGGGACAAAGAGTGGAGCACCCACAAACACACCAAGCTGGGACATAAGAGTCCACAGGGCCAGGGGATGCTGCTCAGCCCCAAACCCAAACCCTCCCTGAGACCATGTCCGGCCCTGTACAGTGAACCCTCAGCTTTCCCTCTCTGCAGTGCCCAACCTCCCGGCAGCCATTAGGGAAGACAGCCATTTGGGAAGGCAGCCATTTAGGCAGGGCAGGGAACTCCAGAATGAGTAGAGCTGAGGCCCCAAGGCCACAGGCTGGTGTGGGTGAGTCAAGACTCTGGAAAGCACCCACCAACAGTGATACTCACCGAGCACCTAGAATGTACTCAGTACTTGATTTGGCCCATGTGGAGGTATCAAGTGATGATCCTACTGTCATCTCAAGAAGATTACAACCTAACTGGGCAGACAGGCTGCCACACAAAACCCTAAGAGGAAAAGTAAGGGCTGAACTATGTTTTTGATCTTACTGAAGAGCATCACTACCCTCAGACACCCAGCGTTACCACGTGCATTTATGCAGGCTGTGCGGTCAGATGTCTACAGTGGCCCTGTGTCACCTCTCACAAATCTACTCTTTTTGGCTCTTCCTTCTCCTTCACTCAGGTCACCTACTGATGGTCCCGAAATTCTATTGATTCTACCTCCTCGGTCTCTCAAACCACCCCCTCCTTTCCTCTGCTAGTATCTACATTCAGACTACCTCCTCAGGTCTTCAAATGTCACTTCAATGAGGCTTCCTTCCCTGGTGATGCTTTTAAATTGGAACCTGTCCACAACAACCCTACACCCCTTCCCTTTTTTTTCCTTCTCTCTCCCTTTCGTTCATCACCACGTAACACACTATGTATCTCATTTAGCAAAACTGTTCATTGGTCTCTCTTGCTAGAATAGAATGTAAGCTCCATAAGGGCAGGGACGCAAGCCTTGTTCGCCTAGAATGGTCCCTAACACACAGCAGGTGCTCAGAAATGGTTGAAAAAAGTCTCCAACATCTCCTGGCTGGCTGGTTGCTGCAGTCAACTAACTGGTTTCCTTGGCTTAATTCCATTCCTTCTCAAAGCATCCCTCACCCTGGCCCCAATCATCTTCCTAAAATACAATCTCATCTTGTCATACCCCTAGTTAAAAAAAAAAAAAAAAAATCCTTTGATGGTTTATAAATTATAATCCACCCTGGCATGCATTCAAGTCAATACATGATCAGGCCCAACCTACTTTTCCAGTCTGGTTTCCTCCTGTCTGGTGCTGGCCCCTTACCACACTCTCAGGTAGAGCCAAACTTTATTCCTGCTGCTCACTCAGACTGGAATGCCTCTCTCCCGGCTTCTACAAAGGGTACACAGGGCTTGGCTTTTTAGTTTCATCCATGAGATCTAGCCTGAATGTCTTGGCCCCAGTCAGCAACCACTGCACTAATTTTCATCTCTGAGGTCATGCCCTCTCTCTCATGTCAGTCTCCACACCGGTCACCTTTGCTTTGCAGTTGGAAAGTAAATGTCTTTAGATCAAAAATTGGAACTGAGTGGGAAGACCCTGGCGGGCCCAAGAAAACTGAAAAGGAAAGACCTGGCCCATGTGCTTGCTTCACTGTCCAGAGAGGTACAGTGGAACCTGCCAAGCAGACAAGGGAGCAAGGGGGTGGAACCTGGCAAAGGGCCTTCCCAGTCAGGCCAGCCCACCAACGCAGTGACATTGGGAAGGTGATTTGGGGGGGCTCTGTAAATCTCCCTATTGTTCTCACTGGGATGCTTAAAATATGTGGACACTACCATTTGTTTTTCACCTTTTGCATTTTCTGCAATTATTTCAGTTTTACTACCTCCAGTTAAAAGACTTCCTGTAGAGAAGGGCTATTGCTCCCTCCTGAGGCTTCAATGTGAGAGAATTTCAAAAGGAATCCAGACAATTCCTCTGGCCTGACAATTCTTCTGCTAAAAATTTAAGCAACAAAAATACTCGCACGTGTGCAGAAAGACTGCTCCAGGCACGGTGGCCTTTTCATTGTTCCGTGAACACACCAGGCACACTCCCACCTCAGGGCATCGGCCCCAGTGCCCTCTACCTGCAAGGCTCTTCTCTCAGATGTCTGAGTGGCTCACTCCCTACCCCTCCTTCTTCAAGCCTGTGCTCAAATGCTGCTTTATCAAGGCAGCCTACCTACCCTATCTTAAACTTGGAACCTGCCCTCCCACTCCATACCTGGCCTGAGACCTCTTATTCTGCTTTACTTTCTTTCCCACAACATCTATCTTCTAATCCATTTCTTCTACTGTATAATTAACTCATTTAGTGTGTCCAGGATTAATTGTCTCCTCACCTGGAAGGTAAGGTCATGAAGGCAAACATTTGTTTTATTCAGTGACATATCCTAAACACATTGATCAGAGCTGCACACATTGAGGTGCTCAAAATATTCGCTGCAGCATTAGCAAAACGAAAGACTGCAAATGACCTAAATGCCTATCAATAGTAGGCTGATTCAGTAAATT